CTTTCTCTTATGGTGAGTCATCCTGTAACTCGAGGGTGGAACTCTTATCTGGCCTTCACGCGGACCGCCGCGAGAGAAAGAGAGAAAATAATGTTTGGTCCTTAATTATTGACACGGTTGGCCGATAAATTAATGCACTTTAAGCCTTGGTATCTTTTATTCTCGCGCGACGAGACCGCGCTCAAACGATAGCGCTTGAGATCGTTTTCGTATATTTCGTTTTCCTTCAACTCAATACCAATAGATGATAGTCGAACATCGTTCTTACTTTTATCGCATAAATCGAGTATAGCCGAAGGAAGGCGTATCTGAATAGTTTGGTTAAAAAGCATCATGCAAATCGTTGGCAGTGAATTAATTCGGCTTTAACGATCGAATGGTAGAATAAACGTCTTGCCGGAGGCTGTGACAGCATTATGCTTGCGGATGCAAAATCCGCAATGGTAAACGCCAACTGACTTTGTAAGAGCCGCAGTATCCGAACGGAGGCTAGATATCTGCTCTCTTATAAAATATTCATTACGTTTTCTCGCTTCCAGGTCACTGGAACTCTAGAATGTTGGACGTGTACGTGTACTTTGGCTATTCGCGCTTTACCTATTCGAAACGACGAATAATAAAGAAGGAGGATCTTGAACGTGTACCACGCCGATTAAAGGGGATGACGTGTGGGTACTCGAACAAAAGCGAAGCTCACGTTTCCCAATGTATTCCTAGGATAGTTTCGAACACGATCGTGATGCTTATGATCATCATGGTGATCCCAATGAACACGATTCTGAAAGCTCGAGGCTGTTTGTTCGGTGCCAGCAAAAATATCGAAGAAGATACAGCACGAACGAACGAAGTGAAACTTTGGGAGCACGTGTGCGAACAATAACGGCCAAAATAACGACGGTTCGATCGTTCTGCATTCACACGGCGCAATGCCGTTGTCACCGCCGTACCGAAGATTTTCTCCTTTGCATCGTGCTCACGATCCTTTACCATGTATTATCATGCGTTCCTCCTCCTTAGAAATTACATTTCTAAGATCAGCTTGAATACAAAATAAGAATCGTGTCTTTCAAAATCTTACTGGGATACCAAGTTGTGCTTGATAAATTGATCCGTAGAAATTAAATTGTCAACTGTACGTAATTGAGATTAATGGATACCTGACAATTGTTACGTGTGAACGTTTCAAACGGTTCGAACGGTTCTACGAACCGCAGGTTCAAAGAACAGACGAGCTCCATCGAAAGGACCGTGTTTAAAAGAAAGACGAAAGTTATAAACGTTTGAAGAAATAAACCCAAAAGGGATGTTAATTATTCGTTCGAAAAGCTTACAAAGGATCGAACTTTTCAACGAAATTATATGTCAGACACGAAGGACTGACGTAGAAGTCAAGTGGGACAGGAAGAAAGGGGTCGATCTTAGATTACAGTCTAGTCGTTTATTTAGGTAGAATTACGCTATGACCTCGGTTCGAGGTCAAACCGGAAACGCCATAGTACAGTGCTCAGTACATTCGACGAATTATATACCAGTGTAGAACTTAATAATATCTCGTTCCAACCCTTTCGTACGACTCCCTATCATCTCTTATTGCCTGTTATTCGAAACATTTAAACTGAGTCTTTAAATTGATCGTAGCTACCAACCAGGGTAACTCCTACCATCTCGTTATTATTGTTGTTATTCAGATCGATATTTGTCAGGATCCTATTTATTGATCCCTTAATTAAATTGATTTATAAACATGTACTATTAACTTATCGTGTAGCATGTGTACTAACTAATTGATGATTTCGTGACCAATTAAACGTGCCAAATTCTTTCTTTCTTTCTTTCTCTATCGAAGTGTATTATAATTTTATTGTCCAGAATGAAATATTCTTTTAAAAACAAAACATCGAATGAAATTGTATGATTTTATTATAAATGTATGACTTAGTCATACATTTGACTTTGAAATGAAAATAATTTTATAATAGATGCTAAATTAAGAGTAAGATAGGATTAATTAATTATGCTTACGTCGTGGAGTTTCTAATGTAATACAATACAAAAGGCGTATCCTCTATGGCAGAGACGTATGGCATATCGGTGGCACAGAAAGTACCGGAGATGTTATTTGGCATTAGGTTCAAACTCTTAGATTCGAACCTAGGTTGTTGGATTCGAAAGAAGTTGAATATAATCTAAACGGTGCTCCATTTCCCGCGAGATCAGTGGCGTCGATGGAAGATGCCAACGTAGGAGGGGCAAGGTGGGAACCTTTTACACGAGTCGATTTGCACGAACTTCTACAAGGGGATCTTTGGGTGGAGCGAAGTTCATGAGGTCGGGTCAAACGGACAAGAACCAACGTTACGACGCTATCAAACCGTGTCTTTTCGTCATGGACATAGACGAAAAAACGATTAGAGAAGAAATACAAGTAATGAAAGATCATGAAGCCTTTGATGATTTTAAAGAGAACATTTGCTTTTTTTTTTTATCACAGTCACTGTTTAATCGTAAAAAGTGAAAATAAAAGAACAAGGCCAATAATATTTATCATGACTTGGACAAGTTTTCTCAAGGTTTTTGTAATTACATCATAGCACGAATATTTCGACCGTTTTACTTACACCTCATAACGAATAAGTAGAACCGATAACGGCATATAACTTTCCTCAAAGCGAATTCTTGGATATTCGTTAAAGAACAACTATAAGCTGCGTTTTGTTATCTTTGTTTTGCATTTACTCAGTTCCAGGGCTAAACGTTTTCCATTATTCATTTTTAAATAACGCATCGTTGCGATATATAACGCTGATTACGACGAGACGCAAAACTTCGGATGATTTAAATGAAACAATAAAGACGTTTCATTTCATTCGAATTTATCCAACAAAACTTTTGTCAAAAATATCTTTACAAGTCAAAAGATTTCTATTTACTCTCTTAGATCAATAAGCATCGTCGCATTTAGTTTTCACATGAGTATATATAAGATCAAGACGAATCAGGCAATTCATGCTGTATTCCGATTAACCTCCAACCGCGCCGATGGACCGTGCTTAATAGTTTCCACTGGGAAAGGAAGAAAGAAGAGTCTGTGACTCTCGGAGCTTGGCAATAAATCGCAAGCGCGAGACTTATCGGAGTCGGATATTCGTTCGGGACGTGTTGAGAGCTCGACGCAAACGGGGAAAGAAGTGCACGAGTGAAAAGAGAGAGAAAAGAAAGAAAGAAAGAAAGGGAACGAAGAAGGAGGAGGAGGAGGAGGAAGAAGCAGAAGAAAACGATCGAAGAGAGAATTCAGAGCCGGGTTGGCCGACCGGAGCCGCTCACTGACCCCTGACGGCTCCGAACGAAGCGGACGTCACGGAGAAACCTTTACCTTCGTTACCTTCTTATATTTAAGGATCTTCCTTAGAGTACTGTTCAACGTGTCTACATATATATGTATATACATATACACACACACACACACACACACACACATATATATATATATATGTAATCTGGAGAACTACAGAGATATGTATGGATATGTACAGATGTACGACTATCTATATGTGTACGTATAGAACTATGTACCCACTTAGATCTTTATCCGAGGCCACCACCACGTCATGAGCGGATACTCCAGTGAACCTGAAACCTCCTCGAGAACCATTATCGGACCACGAGATACCCGCTGTGGCGAATTGCCTTTGAAATCGCGGCAAACATCGCGTAATAGGAGATGTAATAGTAGTCGGTTGGAAGCTACGAAGTAGTATATTTGATTCGGCGGCTATATACGAGTACTGGATCCTTCTGTTGCCAGCTACATTGCAAATTATCATAGAACGCTCGCACTATGATCTATGAGAATAATCTGCTTTTATTTGTATGCTTCTTAAAATATTATATACTGGTCAAGGAGTTTTCCTCGTTTACATTTTCTACGCTTTCTTTACGCATAACAGACAAATTTAATACTCGTGAAACAGACAAAAATTAGCTTAGTTACGTGCTAAGTATATCCTTTTATACTGTTATTTACTTCGTTAGTGAAACTACATCTACAATTAATTAAACTTTTTTGTATTTATATGGATACTTTGAATTTTAACAAAATACCCTCGCAAAGGCTTGCGGCAATAGATAAATATGATGCTAAACAACTCGCGTTAATAATGTGTTAAAATAAATTTTTCTCGATTTCGCATTGGAACTTGACAAAGAAACGTTGTTGCAGAAGCGAAAGGGCTAATAACGAGACGTGCGTGCGTGCGTGCGTCGTGAGCTCCTCGAGCTTATTTTTATCCAGGCTTCCGTCAACGCGTTCATTAGCGTTAAAAACTTTACGACGTGTCGTAAGTTGTCTACTTCGGACCATAGAAGGGGAGAAGCTTGGGAGAAGATTAGCGCTCGTACGCTGACAAAATTCTCGCGGATTCGCATAAGGATTCGGATTTTAGAGGACGACAGGCAATAAGGCAAGGAGCATATCGTGAGTCGCACGTATATGTATGAACGAGATTTCGGTGCTTTCGAAGAGGTTCGCCCCGTTATCCAGGCTCGTCACTTTCCTTTGAAGAACGCCGAAACGTCGTCTCTCGACGGAAGGAAAGAGAGAAGGAAAAGAAGAGAGAAAGAGAGGGAAACAGGAGAACGTCTTGCGATGTTATTTATCATTGCGTTCTCTTCCTTGACGTTTCTCGCGATCGGATCAGAGCTGATAACGGTACATCACTTACGCATACACGCACGTGCGAATACAACGTCCACACATCGACGAAAGTTGTAGATATGGTTGCATCTTTCATGGAACGTTGCCTCCTGACCGATGAGCTAATTTTCGTATTCGCTAACCAATTAATTTCTAGCACTGGCAGGTAGATAATTACGTTATCGTTCGGTAATACAATGCATCGTCATGAAAATAGTTCGAACTGAAGGATAAGAACTCGATTATACCCTCATATCGATATATGCATTTTTTCTTTTTTTCCTTTTTTTCCTTTTTTTCCTGCTACGAGTCTTGCCAAGTCATATCGCCATCGACTATTGACTTGGCACAACCTTACCGAGTTTTCTTACCGAGTTACGTGCACAGTGCTATAGGTTCATAGTTTCGTTCTTGTTAATTGGATCGTTGGAAGATATAACAAGATGATATTAATTACGACATTTGCGATTATTTCTTTTAGCATGCTAACCACTATGAAGGTAAGTACTACTCTTCTCTCATTTTCAAATTGTTCACCTACTCAAAATTACTTTTCATTACTTTTAATGAATTAAATTGTATTTATTTGACGAGGTCAATAAATGCAATTTAAAATTCGATCTTAATCGTCTGCACTTGTACGTCGAGCGTGGCTCGATATTCTTCAGAATGGTGTACTAATGATTTTTTATTACAACATTTTATATTTTCATTGCGATAAACAAAATGAAAAATATACAAATATTTTTCCTTTTTTTCTTTTTTTTCTTTTAAGTATAAAAACAAAAAAAAAACAAAAAAGAACAAAGAAGGCAAAGGGCATTTTCATGATTTTGTGCTTGTGTTCTTTTTTCTAACAAAAGTTAAAAAATAAAATGTGTAATAATCGCTTTAAAGTTTTTATCAAACTATTTTCAATGACCGTTTTATCGCTCAACGAGTTGATAACGAGTTATTAGTCACGCAAAGATATATGTACGCACGTACATACATACGTTGACATAATAAATAAATAAATATCCTAGCTACTTTGTTATTATAAAATAATATCGATATATTCATTCGATCGATCAAAAAATTCATATCCTATGAGTAATGTATTCAATACAAATCGACAGGCCATGAATTACACTATAACAAAAATCTTGGACGAAACAGTGACAGTATACGAGAACTCACTATTCGACTTAGAAGTAATCGGTTTTAATAATAACACCAAAGCCTACATGATAATCAAGAAGCCCATTACGGAGAAGGATGAACTTCTCGTAAGTATTGCTCTAAAGTAAAATTATGACATACAGGTTTTACATTCAAAATTAAATTCACCTTTTTGCAAATCATATTCGCCCTTTCGCCAATCAAATTCAATCTATTGCGAATCAAATTTAACCTTTTGTAAATCAAATTTTTCTAAGAAATTCTTTTTTCAGATTATTGTCTTTCTATTTCTAAAATATAAAAGCAACGAGAAAATATTTTTAACAAATGCGCTTCAAAAGAAAATTTCTTATCTTATCTAATCAATAATTAAGGATTTATCGAAAATCAACATGAGTTTCAAAATTTTTAAATCACATCACACGTTAACAAAAAATCATAAGGAAAGGATGTAATGTTAAGTTTATAATTAATTATAATTAATTATTTTCAACAATGTAAATACTGCAATGTATCAAAATCAAATTCATTTGTTATTTAACACGTTCCATGTCGGGCCAATTGTCACATAACTTTCTTTCCATTTGATATTATAAATAAGAGCAGATAGATCATCATAAAATATTTCATTATATTATCGGTCGATAATTTTTATTACAAAATATTACCAAAAAAAAAAAAAGCAATTTTGTAGAAAAAGCCGACTTGAGAAAATGTGAATTTGATTTGCAAAAAGTAAAATTTCCAATGCAGAAATTATACATAATACGAGCTTGTTTATCTTTTAAATAATTTAAATTTAATCTATCTCTTAAAATATTTTTGTAAATTATATGGGGCTATCTGTCCATAGATGTCCGAGCAAATATCTCGTGACTGGTTGAAACTACGAGAAAGTTTAATAAGAGAAATTTCCGAGTCAGCTACGAAGTGCATGTAAAATTTTTTTTCTTTTACTCGTGACCTTTCCGAGACATGAAAGTCAACATAGTTCTTTTAAATGGATAATTTTTCTTTTGTATATTTATATATAGTAGTAGTCATTTAACATGAAAATCACATGTAGTAAAAAATTGCCATTACATCGTTTACGAGTTAATCGATATCTTAACGATTCGACCAACAGATTTATACTGTACTGTAATTCATGCTTCATGCTATACAAATACACTATTTACAAATCAAGGAGTTGTGTATTTTGACGAGTTGAAGGTCAGTGATACTCTTCGACTATTCAAAATATTATGTATATCTATTTTCTAGGTTGTTTTCTAAATGGTGTTATGAGAACGCTACTACTTCACTTCTTAAGATTATCTCGTAAATGATATATAATAGCAATTTTTATTACAAACTATGTAAATTAAAAAAAAGAAATTATACATATACATTAAAAAAAAAAAAAAACTATATTGACCTTCGCAATTCTAAAAAGTCACAAGTAAAAAGAAAAATGTTCACGTGGAATTTGCATTCGGAGCGGTGCAAATTTTTCTTAATAAATTTTTTTCTTACTTTAACAAGTTTTGAGATATTTAACATCTATGGACGGACATCATGTAAATGTATTGTATAAATAATTTTTACATGTTTTTACCATATATTATCACGATTTAATAATACAAATTAACAAGTTTTTTTCGATTATCGATATACTCCATAATTTTATCGATCTATTATATACATGCCTTATTATTATAACATTATATAATGTACTATATTATTTTAGTTACTTGTGCCTTAATTACATTTTTTTATTATTTTATTGATTTAACGCAGATTAATTTTGTGGCAGAAAGGTTCGACGGTGTGAAATTTCCATTACCCCATAATCCCATGAAACTCTGCAAGTTCCTTTCCGAAGAACAATTTAATAAATCGGAATCTTACATCCAACAATTTCATATTTCAAGAGCTTTCAATCTCGAAGATCAAATTTGTCCTATATTACCGGTAAGAAACAGAACCAACTTTAATAATACTAATTATAAGAATTTATCTTTGAAATTATTAAATTATGAAACATTGATCTTTTTTCTTTTTCTTCAGGGTAAAAGAAAGCTGTTACCGTATATGTTTCCAAAAAATATAACACTTTTGCACGACATAGGTTGTGGGAATTTTTTTTACAATGTCGACTTATTAACCAACACAAGCGATTCCAGTGAGTATAGATCTTTGATTTCTAGCCAGACAACTGTTCATATAGAGGGAGACAATTGTTCGAATACACTAATGTAACATAATCTACACATACAAATTTAATAATAATCTGATATAATTTAATATATAATAAATAATATGTTAACCGTAACTAATAGATCTGTATAAAGATTAATAATAAAATGTATAGACAATAGGAATAATTTGTATCAACAATAATATAATAACGAAATGGTTCGACAACTAAATTAGACTTATTTTAAAAACAATTAGGAACGCTGGTTAGAAATTAACTGTAAGTGTAGGTACAATTTTCTAAAGAGAGCAAAAGAGACCGACACGAAGTTTCACAAGCACGTCCTTGGTTATCGTCTTAGCCTCTACTGTTCCGTACCAACGTGTTCCTTGAACGTACACCTACGTATAAACAACGAGCAAGTATAGAGCACGCGAGAAACCGTCTAAAAGGCGGTATCAGCCTTCATCGGATAATATCGGTACCCGAACCCGAACGTAATGGTTATGAGTAATGGCTCAAGATCGTGGCAGCGAGGTCGACTTCGCTGAACCGTACACGGAATCTAAGATTTAGATACAGGTACCCGAACTTGCTTCAGTAGACCTGCCTTCCCCATTACGCATTTTCATCGTTGAGCGTATTTTAACGTCATCGATCGTGTCAAAGTTTTCTTTAATTTAACAGATTAGATTTTTTTTTATTAGCAAATTCTTTTAACTATAAATATTATTAACAATTAATCGTTCTTATGACTATTTTTTAATATATCGTTGGCCAATTTTCATTTCATTTTTCCGTTTTTAATATATCACGTGTTATATATATGTATATATATATATATATATGTGTGTGTGTGTTGAATGTAATTTTTAAATAATAAAACCTTCGCTTATTAATTGGATGAATATATGTCGTGTCATAGATGAATCTTGAGTTTTGGATAAAAATAATGTTATAACGCCTGGAGGCATGTGAGGATACTTGTAGTAATCCTAACGATTAATTCTATCGAAATAAATTTATTTGAATTATTTTCAATTAGATTTTTCAAACTAATTTTTCTTCCCGTTTAATGACAAATTATACAACACGGAACGTATAATATAATTTATTATTACAGTAAGCGAAACTTTTACTTAGAAAATATTAGAAGATTTTTTTTTAATTATTAAAGGAGAATTATTACGATATGAAATATATAGTATAATTTATACTAAGTAAAGTTATTACATAGAAAGTATTAGTTTTTTGAGTGTACGAGTTGTAACGTTTCGTTACATTATAGAGAATTAACATTTTTAAAAGATTAGCTTAAAAAGGGATGATGAAGTTTCCGGTTGAATTGACCTTTCTCGCGATCGATCTGCTATAAGTACTATTCATGCCAAGTTACGGATGAACCCCTTACTTTTATTACGTATCCAATTTCACACGTTAGCGCCGATAAATGTACGATAAAATGTAGAACCACCTCTCGAGCGATGGATATATTCGCGGCATAGGTGATACGGGATATCGTTGAACAACTGCTTGACCCCGCGTGCAATAAATAAAATGGTCGAGTGCGTGAGAAAGAGAAAGAGGACGTATTCCAAGTGAAATTTATCGATATGTGTCTACGCAATGGAGATCGAACATCATAAAAATCTATTTCCCACTTTAAGCCAATCGTATGCAAGTTGTATATGCCGTCTTCTTATACGGTTAATGCATGTTCGATTCTCTCTCTAGGATTCATTATACGGAGTTAGAGAAAGATGGATGTCTCATGTTAAAGCTCATTATAGAAATCAATAACAGTACCAAACGTTCTTAAATACATTTAGCTGACATTCGTATGTCTAATCAAGATGTGACCACAATATTGCTACCTTTTAACAAGTATTTTAAATATCATTTCATGTATATCTTGAAAAAATAACATCCAATTTGATAACTTATTATTAATTTACTCCTTATGGTTAATTGAATTATTCGATGCGAATGGGCAACTTAACACGTTAACCGTTAACATAATCAAATCCTGTTTCTTAGGTTTCTTTTTTTCTTGTTTTTTAATTTTTTTATTCAATTACTATATCTATATGCAAAATAAAATAAAAAGTAAAAAATAATTAATAACTGAGTAAAGTAAAATTTTGCATTTTCCTTGAAAATTAAATAATAAAAATATGAATTCATGTATTTATAATATACACATATATAAATTAGTATTACGAGTATTAATAATTCAATTACCGATCGAACATAATATAAATTAATAATAATTATATTTGGCAATGAATCGTGTTAGAATAGTATAAACAAAAAGTTGACCATTGTTATCTTCAAAATATAATTTTTTAAAGCTTCTTTCAAACGAAAATCTTTTAAGCCGAGTATCAATATAGTCATCAGCGATCATTAGTGAAATAAACCCACCATTGATAAGAATATAAGAGTTCTATTCGATCATACTATTCAATAATTTATCATTATAAGTCCTATTCAATCATATTATTCAATTATATCGTTATAAGAGCTTATAATAATGAAAATCCATCTGTGGCCCGAGGATAAAACATACAAAATTCACGTGGCACATTGGTACACCGTACACCGGAAGATCCCTGATAAATAAAAAAAGGAAAAAAAGATACGAAGTTTGAAAGGTGTCGATAAGATCAGACCTTATCGTAAGCAAGAACGTGTTCGATAAGCACACGGAGCTCGCGATCGAAGAAGAAGAAGGTGTCGATAAGGTCAGCCCGTTTCGAGCGTACGAATACGTTCGATAAATGGCGTAGCAGGAGGTAGACAAGGAGGGAAAAGGAGACTCGATCGGTCAGTGGTAAAAAGAAAGAAAAAGATTCGATGGGTGGTAAATACGACGGAGAGAAAGAAGGGAAAAAAAAACAAAGATAAAAAAAAGAAGAAGAAGAGAAAGAAGACGAAGAAGCCAATCGAAGAAAAAAAAGAAGAAGTGGGGTAAGGGGTGGAAGGGTTCGACGAGAGAAGACGATTCATTAGTCGTACAACACGGAAGTGTTCGAAGCTGTGCGGCCTCTCCTTCTCTTCTCTCTGCATCAATGTGTGAAACGAGTATGAGTGTACGTGTGTACGTTCGTTCCGTTTCTCTCTCTCTCTCTCTCTCTCTCTCTCTCTCTCTCTCGAACATACGAAGAGGAGTCCGAGGGAGCCAAACTGGGTTTCCTCGTGTGGCCCTCCGAAGGATTATTATGCGCGACGGGGGCCCCTCTAGAACCGAACCAAGCCGGCCAACTCGATTTTGTCCGATCCCGTTCGACTTTAAAGCATGAAATATATCGCGATAATTCTTTCCGTTCGATCGACCGTATCCAAGATTTTCGGCGTACTGAGTTCCGATCTTCTTTTCCGTTCGTTTAGGCTACTTGGAGGAAAAAAAAACACCCGTAGCTTTGGACAGGACTCTTTCTCGTACAAGTTTGTTAGAGAAAAAGAACGGTGGGAGAGAGGGAGAGAAAATGATGTGCTTCTCTAGTTACCCCCTGTCGCTTAAACGTAATTTACATCGTCTATAACTTACGGCAAAACGTATTATTTATGAATGCCGTGTCTCGTTCACGCGATACTTGCGATAGCCGATAATACAGTGGCCCGAAAAAAGTCGATAATACGACGGCTTCGTTTAATAATCTCGTCGGAGTAAGTCGATGGTTTGGATAAAGTCGATACGCCTTAGTTCTCAGTTAGCGCGAGTGGCATTTATCGCCACTGTTACTTCTTCTCCGTTTTCTTTCCTCTACGTTTTCCGTTTCTATCGATATCGATCTTTGAAATCTTTATTTATTTCAATTCATTTCCTTTCGTAACATTCGATTCTATCAGAAGATTGTTTTTATTTCCACATATGTTACTTTTGTCAATATTTCAAATTTAACGTTTGTTTAGTACATGTCATTTGTACTTATTTATCTATCGATTGTATTACACGATAATACAAACTGGCAAGTAACTGGGTCTCTGATAAAAGTGAAAATAGGAAGAATATCTGAGGAATTTCCATTTGTAATGGAAAATAACGTAGGAGTTAAACGGAACGTAACAATTATTATCTTTGAGATATATAAAAATTCGTATGAAATAAATGATTTATTCTTCATCCGTAGATGAAGCCATTAAAAAAAAAAAAAAATATGATCGATTTTATAATTTGATCGAGCGAATGATTTCAATGAAAATATATTTAAAAGGGACGTGTAATAAAAAAGATTTTATGACACCCACGCAATGTAAAATCGTCGTGTCACGGACAACGACTTACAACGATCACGAGATCGGTAAGTTTACCTCTTCAGATTCTAATTACTTTTCTACAGAGAAAAAGATAAGTTCGTAGTCATCGCCGCGGGGCAAGAATCACGAAGCTGTCTCGTCGTAAGACAAGCGACCGTCTTGGATTCCACGAAGCGATTATTAGTAGTAGCCGTGGTTCTTCTCACGCACCGCAAGGACCGCGAATTCTACAAATTGCTTCTGCTTCCTGCTACAGTCAACTTCTTCCCATCTCTTGCTCGTTCTTCGTGCATGTCGATCAACCGGGATATACAATTTACTTATGCATCGATGTATACGAAAGCGAATTACGCGATGATCGGACATAATAGCTGATTATTCTACTCTATTACCACTTAAAAATTCACATTTGTCTAAGAAGAATCGATACTTAAATAGTCGGTAAATAGCGAAGAAGCTTATATGGATTATTGATCTTTCGTTGGTTGAGCTGTCTTTCCTGCGCCATCTCGAGCATGTTGTATTCGGTGAATATAACATGAACAACGTTAAACAACGGGAACGTTGATTAGAAATAAATGAACGAGACGAACGTTCCGAAAGATGAAGAGACACAGATAAGAATAAAATATTGACTTGATGCAATGGGAAAGTTGCTACGTGAAAAGTCTCAAAAGGTAATCGCTCGAGCTCCTTTCTCGTTCGCGCCCAACGATTATCCTTTCTACGCCACGACACAAGGATATCGAATGTTCCTGCGTTCAAGCTTACTCGGCGTAATGCCAAAGGTGCGTGAATCGTAACTACGGGGGTCCTTTCGTACGGACTGGTTTGCGGCATGACGAGTCGCGCAAGTCATACGGCATTCCAACTGCGCCAAC